TTCATTCTTTGGTTGTTGTTGCCCAGTCTGAATCCTAGGCAAATGTGGTGACTATGGGACCCCTAGTAGAACACCCAACCTTCATATCTTTTCAAAATCTACATTTTGCATGTGATAAAAAGTTTGATACCTGTCTTTTTGAGACTGCTTGTTTCATTTAATGTGAGTCTATCTCCATCTATTTTCCCACAAATAATACAGCTGTGTTCTTCTTTATGGCTGAATAAAACTCCTTTGTGTATGCATACCATACTTTTTATAGATTCATTGGTAGGTGGGCATTAGGCTAATCTTAACTATTTTGAACAGTGCCAAAATAACACTGATGTTCAGATACCTCTTTTATAAGCTCCTATATTTGCAGGAGAAGTATAGCTAGTTTATGGAAGAGTTCTATTTTTAGTTTTTTAGTAACTACCATACATACTTCCATAGCGGCTGCACTAATTTATACTTCCACCAGCAGTGTGTAAGGTTCCTCCACCTCACACACACAAACACACACACACACACACATACACACACATACATACATATATATATACACACAGACACACATGCATGCACACACAGATACACACACACACACACACACACACACACACACACACACAAAATCACTGTCAGCATTTCTTCCAGCTAGATTTTATGATAGCCATTCTAACTGTGGTAAGACGGTATCTCAGTGTAATTTGGATTTGCATTTCTGTGGTGGCTAAAATGTTTTCTCATGAACGTATTGCCCATTGGTACTTCCTTTGAGCAATGTCTGCTCTAATTAAATATCTTGTTTATTGATTGAGTTATTTGTTTTATGGGTGCTTAGTTTTCTGAGTTCTTTATATGTTACAGATATTATTCAACTGTCATAAGATATTTCTCTCATTCTGTTTGTTTCCTTTGCTGTGTAAGAGGGTTTTTTTTTGTATTATTTCATGGGTTTTTTGGTTTTTGATTTTGGGGTTTTTTATTTTGTTTTGTTTGTTTCAAGACAGGGTTTCTCTGTGTTGTTTGGGAGGCTATCCTAGAATTCGTTCTGTAGACCAGGCTGGCCTCGAATTCACAGAGATCTGCCTGCCTCTGCCTCCCGAGTGCTGGGATTAAAGGCATGCGCCACCAACACCCGGCTTATTATTTCATGGTTTTTAATTCTTCCATTTGCTATTATTTCCTAGGCTGTTAGAATCTACTTACAAAGTTCTTGCCTATGCCTATGTGTTGAAGTGTGTTTCTTACATTTTATTATAGTAGTTTCAAAGTTTCAGGTTTTACATCAAAGTCCTTGAACTATTTCAAATTGATTTTTGTATAGCATGAGAGATATGGACCTTAGTGTAAGTCTTTTATATGTAAATATATTCTTTTCCCAGCAACATTGTTGAATGTTGTCTCTTTTCCAACATATGTTTCAGTGTCTTTGTTATGAATCAAATGACTACAGCAGTGTGGGCTTATTTCTGGATTCTCTGTTCTTTTATATTGTGGTATGCCTCTTCTGTGCCAGTTCCATGATGGTTTTGTTACTACGGCTTTGGGGTATAATTTTAAATCAGATCTTGTGTTTGCCCCATCATTGTCCTCTCTGCTTAGGACCATACTGCCTATTTGTAGTCTATGTGTTTCCATATAAATTTTAGGGTTGTGTTTCTCATAACTGTGAATAAGTTCATTGAAATTTTAATGAAGATTACATTGCATGTGCGTACTGCTTTGGGTGATGTAGCCATGTTCACAATATTCTGCCCATCTGTGAACACTGGAAGTCTTCCCATCTTCTAGTGTCTTCTTTGGCTTCTTCCATGTTTTAGGTCTTTATTCTAGAGATCTTTTTTTTTCCATTCATTCACAGCAAATGCAGGAGCCTGGCAAGCAGGCAGCCTGAAGGCCATCTACCTGGATAAGGGTCCAATTCTTCTTTCTGGGAATAAATTCCTCTGTCCATGTCACATCTAGAATAAATGCTGAGGAGTTTGCCCTCCTTGGGAAGCTGTAGATTTCACAGACTGTTGCCTGCTTTCTGCTTCTTTAGGGGAAACTGAGGATGCTCTATATATTATTTAGTCAAGAGCTTCTTTAAACCAAGATAGTGGTTTCTTTAGCAATATAGTTCTGTAGGAAACGAAACTAGCATAGGGTCCAGACCTGTTTTCCTTCCATTTGCAGCATGTACCGATAACTATAATTAAATTCTAGATATAAATATAATGAAGGAGGGAAGGAGGAAGGGAGGGGAGAGTGAGGAATGGGAGAGAGGGAGAGGGAGAAAGACTCACTCTTACTGTATAGCCCAGGCTTGCTTGAACTAATGACCATCTACCTCTGCTTCCTAAGTGCTATGGTGGCAGGGGTGCAACCAGCATATCCTGCTTCATTTCTTTGTATGTGTCCTCAAAGTTTTGGGGTTTGAAAATAGTAACTCTTTCAACCCTTTGACCTTGCAAATATCGACTCATTGTTCCCATTTCTTTCTGTTTCCCAACCTTGTAACTCCCTCCTGTACTCATCTCCTTAATAGCTTAGTGAGGAGTGCCAATAAAAACCAATTCTCAACACACATTACCTACAGACTGCCTCATAGATACTTCCTTGGAGCTTAAAATGACAGCTTATGACATCCAAGTCACATCTTGGCTCTTACCACTGCATGCCTCATCACCATCTGTCTCGCCACCTCTCACCTCATCCTGGACAACCACTGAGTGAAGTCTGTGTCACTTGCTTCTAGGTTAATAGGGCATCCCCCACCTCATCAATTTTTACATTGGTTACACAGGCTATCTTAAGCTAAGCAACAAAGAAATTTCAGCAGCTTTAGTCTTATAAAGTCTTTCTGCCTAGTGGGAAGTTCATGAATTTTTTTGGTGATAGGACAACTATCTTCTATTGATCTGAGAGCTAATCTCTACCAAAATAATGGCCAAGAAGATAATAGATTCACTTTCAAAATACTTAAGGGAAATAACTGACAACCTTGACTTTGTTGCCCAATGAAATTATCCTTCAAAAAGTGAGGTGATAGAAAGACATTTCCAGGCACATAAAGATGAAAAGTGTTTGTCCCAAATGCTCACTGAGAGAACAAACAGAAGAAATGCTTTTATGAGAGAAAAACAGGTAAGAAGATAAGAAGATTCAGGAAGCAACAGTGAATTTAAATGAGACATGCTAGTAAACTAACGATGATTATTCAGGCGGAGTTAGAGCTCAGCCAATGGCTGTTCTTTTGTAGAAAATGTATGTTATTTCTCTCTGGAAATTTTTATTATAGTAGTGACCTCAATTATAGTGTCTAGATTTGATTATCTATCTATCTATACCTACCTATCTACCTACCTACCTATCAATCATCTATCATCTTTCTCTCAGCAGTTAAGATCCTGTCCTAATGCCAGGTGTGGTGGCACACACATTTAATACCTCCACTCTAAAAACAGAAGCAGGCAAATCTCTGTGAGTTCAAGGCCAGCCTGTTCTACATAGTGAGTTCCAGGGCACTTAGGGCTATGTTGAGACCCTGTCTAAAAAACTAAATAACAAAACAAAACAGAAAGATCCTGTCCTAAGAATCATGCCCTCTAATTTTTAAATTTCTATTCTCTTTCTTCAAATATAATTTGTGTGTGTGTGTGTGTGGATAGATTAGACAGATAGACAGACAGATAGATGATGTATATGGGATTCTATGGGATAATATATGTATGTGTGTATTTTCATGAACACATGTTGACCTTTTCTTTTATGATGAATTAACCTTAACTTTTGCGATCTCTTTAAAACTTTTGAGCATGCCAGACACATGCCTCTAATCCCAGCACTCGGGAGGCAGAGGCAGGCAGATCTCTGCATGTTCCAGACCAGAGCAGCCTGGTCTACAAGAGCTAGTTCCAGGACAACCTCCAAAACCACCAAGAAATCCTGTCTCAAAATACCAAAAAAAACTTTTGAGCACAGCTAAAGCCCACTCAACATTCCTACAATTACTACTTGTTATTTGATATGGTTACTTTTTGACGTACCTGCTAACCATCTCTCATGGTGTTGCATTTCTCCCGTTATCCTGTTCACTGTAGGTTCCTACCTATTTCCTGAGTATGAGTGTGTCTTTATATCATACACTATCCTGAACTTCCCAGCAAACAACTCTTTCATAATAGTGCCTGGACTCAATTTTAAGACACCATAGTTGGTAAGGAAATATGTGTACACATCTACATCTACACCTACACCTATGAAGACTGGTTTCTTATGCACGTGGTTCTGAGGCAGCAGTCTGATACTGTTGCATCCTGAAACTTTCTGGTCAGCACCATCGTCTCACCATCTGCAGGGACTTTCATTCCAGGTCCTCAGTTGGATCAAACTCATGCCCGTAAGTCATAAATTTTCCTCCATTTATGCTCATGTGCTATGAAATATCTTCACTTCTGATTTCCAGAAATATTCATCTTCTTGATTTAAGTTTGGCCTTAAATTTTGTATTTGGCATTAAAACTTTTATTTATTGTAGCATTTCTTGATGTTTCCATGTCACTCTAGGGGGCCAGATTGACATCAAAGTAATAGACGTGAGATTAGGTCGGCCAGTAATAGCAAGACTTAAAGGGAGAAGGGTTTCCTGTCCACCGCCTTCCACATGCTACCCTGGCTCTGCTCCATCAGGACAGCATCAGGACAGCCACTTGCAACTCTTCTGGCTGAACCTACTGACCACTTCCTTCATACTTAGAATCAGTATCTAAACTGATAATTTCATTTACAGTGTTAGAAATGATCCAGTGACTTCTTATTCTAATACTGTTTTTTTAATTATGTCTGTAATGTTTATATTCAGGCTGTCCATTGTGAAGCTTAGCTGCAAACAGTAACCACATTCTCTCTCTAGCACAACGTTGGAAATTTGTCTGACTTGCCAGTAGCGTTTTATTTATTTATTTCCTACCTACTTATGCTGGACCTTGTCCCCAAATGTTCTATTATGACACTTCACTTGATTCCTTTCTACGACTTTATGCATGGCTGTGTAACAAATTGCTCTGAAACCTTGCGTTTTAACACAGTTTGCATTTATAACTCACCATTCCCATATCAAAAAGAATCAAACTTGATTTAGATGGCTCCTCTGACTCTGAATCCTCTGATTGCAGCTGAGATGTCATCCAGAGTTAGAGGAGACTTGGTTCATGAAGGACAGGAGCTGCTTCCAAGGCCATTGGCATAGCTATGAGCAGGACTCACTTCCTCACAGGATTTGGTGGGTGGAGCAGTCTCTCTCACTTTCTTGTCCAAGGGTCTCTCCACAAGGCTTCTCATAATGTGGCAGCTGACTTTTATCTGACCAAGCAAGAGGGAATGAGACAGAGTAAGCTGCAGTCTCTTAAACTCTCACTATGAAATCAATATTCCATCTTTTTAACCACATTCTGTTTATTTTAAGCAAATTTCTAGGTGCAGCTCCAGAGAGAGGGTGGTACATAATGTGACTACCGGTCTAAGGTCATTGGTAACTAGTTTAATTTTTCTCAGAGCTCCCTTTCTTTCTTAGCTCTAATTTCTAGTCCAGTTCTTAGCCAACACTCTGAGGATTTCCATCACTTTTCTTTAAATTATTTTCATTATTACATTTGTGTGTGTGCGTGCATGTGTGCGTGCGTGCGTGAGTGCGTGTGTGTGTGTGTGTGTGTGTGTGTGTAAGTCAAAGGACAACTTGTGGGAGTTGATTCTCTCTTAATTATGTGTGTCGTGGAGACTGAACCCTATTAGGATCAGCCACAAGTACACTTGCCTGCTGAGCCATCCCTCCGCCATGGTTTCACTTGCCCCTGCCTCCCCCCATCCGCTAAGATGCTCAGTTTCTCATCTGTAGGTCACCTGCTTTCTCAGCTCCTTAGGGGGCTTTCAGAATCTTCTCCTTGTCTCAGATGTTATGAAATCTCACAGGGATATTCTGTGTACTGGATATTCCTTGCAGACTTTCAAGATTAACTTCATTTTTATTTGTGTTTATAGGGTGTGGGGTGTATGTGCATATGTATTCCTGCAGAGGCCAGAGGAGGGTGTCAGGTCCCCTGGAGCTGGAGTTACGGGTGTCTGTGAGCGGCCCCACCTGGGTTCTGGGGATCAAGCTCCAGGCTTCTTTACATATTTTAAATGTAAAGTTCATGTCTTTAGATCTGGGGACTATTCTTGACTATTTCCCTTAATAGTTTCTATCTTCCAGAACCCCTATAGGTTGGATACTGACCCTTCTACATCAGGGTTAAGCAAATGATTTTGTAAAGAGTCGCACCGTACACATGCTGGGTTTGTGAACCACTTATGGTCTATGTTCTTTTTCATGCGCTATTTATAAATTCAAAGGACACGCTCTAAGGAGCATTACAAAACCAGGCCTAAGTGAGGCGTGCTGCATGCATCATCGATTGCTGACGGCTGCTGAACAGATTTGTGCTCTGGGCCTCTTATTTTCTCTAAGTTTTTACTATAATTTCTAGGAGATTGCCTTGTTGTTGTCTTCTAGTTCTCCACATTTCTTTCTTCAGCAAACCTATTTGTAAATTCTGAGGCCTCTTTCTTATTCTCTTACTATTTATTACCTATAGTTAGAGATTCTCTTGTCCTGCCTAGGACCCGCCACCGCTTCAGCCCCAAATAAGCACACAGATGCTATGTTAATTATTAAACTGTTGGCCAATAGTTAGGGCTTCTTATTGGCTAGCTCTGTCTTAATTATTAACCCATTTCTATTAATCTAAGTATTTCCATGTGGTCTTGACTTATCAGAGAACCCCTGGTACATCCTATCCTCCTGGTCTCCACATGGCGACTGACTCTGTGTCTACCTTTCCCAGAATTCTTCTCTTCTCCTAGTCCTGCCTATTTTCCTGCCTCATTAGCCAAATAATGTTTTATTCATCAACCCAATAAGTGAAACATATATACAGAAGGATTTGTATACTATCTTTCCAAACCTACTAAAGATACAGAAATTGTTGCTTTTTAGGGTTCATGTTTCTGTTTCTTCAGTGTTTATTTTCTTTCTGACAATTTTCATTTCTTCGTTTTATTTTAGAGGGTTTTTTCTCATATCTTTGTCACTCTATTGGAATTTGAGATTCTTAACAAAGTGTATTTTATTTGGAATGGAGCAGGACTTGACAACTAATGGACTTTACTTTGGGATTGCCAGGTGGAGAATGCTAGTGTAGGGAGCCTTGTCCCTAGAACCATCCAATTTGTCCGGTACAGAAATGCCTGGCCTTCTGCCTGGAGGGAGAAAGAGGTCTTGTTTCTTTTTCCAATCCTGCTTCCATTTCCAGGTTCCATTACCTGGAACCATGGGAAGCTGAGACAGAGAGATAAAACATTCAGGGCTAGCTTGGGCTCTAGAACAAGATCCTCTCTCATAAATGAAGAGGAAGCCTTGAGTGTGCTCACTCATGTGGACCACTCATCTCTAAGCCACACCTTGGTTCTCCCCCGAATAAAGCGGCCTTGCTTTTTTTGAGGAGAATAAGAAGAGGAGAAAGAAAATCATATTATTTAGTAGATGCCTGTGACACTCTCTATACAAGATTCATGAGGATCAAAATACTTCGGCACTGAATATCATAAAATATCATTTTAAACTATAATATTGCTATTAAATGCATTCAGGAAACACTGATCGAATATCTATTACCTGTCAAGCATGATTTTAGGCATTGAAGAGTCAATACTGAACAGACACAGCCTCTTCTCTCTTGAGCTACCAGAGTCATCCATGAGGATAAGCACAAGCAGATAAAGAAATACTCAAACGAGAGAATGAGAGAGAGAGAGAGAGAGAGAGAGAGAGAGAGAGAGAGAGAGAGAGAGAGATTGCTAGCCATGAAGAAAACTAAATCAAAAAAAAGGCAGATGCTGGCTTTTAGGGTAATCAGTACAGTCCTCTCTGGTTCTACCACACTGAGAAAAGACAAATGATTCCCCCTCCTATGCTATTACCGAAGAGGATTTACAATTGTGAGCTAACCCTCCCCAACACTGACGAACTATGCCTAGTAGGAGCCTTTGTTTCGATTCTTCCCTGTTCTCTTGTCTGACATTATCATTATTCAAGGATCCATCCTCCTCCGTGTTTAACCCACACGGTTTCATTGCTTTTATTCAAATTAATAAACGTTATTTCCTGACAAAGGCTGAACTTCTTCTCCAAAGAAATCAGTGTGCTTACCTGAGTTGATTATCTCTGGCTTACTTAAATAATTTAAATCATTTCCCATTATTTTCATTGGAAATATGAGAAAACCAAGGCACAGAAGTAGTCTCTGGTGAAGCCCCATACAAACACAAACCCTCTGGCTGGGGTTGGCTTCTAAGGCCTGACTCACCACGCTGCTTTAGGAATTCAAATGACAACTTGTGAACATACCTGAAATAGGAGTCTTGGTGGCTTGGTGTGATGATTAGTGTTCACTGTCAACTTGGTGAGATCTGGGGTCACCTAGGAGACAAGCTTCTGGGCACACCTCTAAGGGATTGTTTTTATAAGGTTAGCCTCAGGAGGGATTATCTTAATTAGGTTATATGAGATGAGAAGACCACCCACTATGGACAGCACTATTCCCTAGGATGAGCTCCTGAACTACATAAAAAGGAGGGAGCCAGCTGAGCATGGCTTCCCTGTTTCCTGGTTGTGGGTGCATTGTGACCAACTGTCTCAGGTTCCTGTCATCAGGGAGTCCCTTCTATAACGAACTGTGAGCCAAATTAAACCCTTTCTCCCTTAAGCTGTCTTTGTCAGGGTATGTAATTATCATGGCAACAGAAAACACAACTAAGATGCCTGAACTACCAGTGTTGGCTACTGAGTATTTTTATGAACATTGCCGAGATACTAACTTAAAATGCCATTTGTTCTGTGGGCTCTTGGCTATAGCAATAGAGACTATGTCTCCTCAATGCTCTTTGTTTTGCTTTGAATCAACCATTGGGTAGCCCAGCAGCCATAAGCAGAAGATTGTCCCTGGTTTCTTCACAGCCTGTCAATCCCTGTGAAATCAGAGAAGGCTGGAGCGTGGGATCTTTGTTGTCCCTGTCCAAATGCGGCAGCTGTTTAATTTCAATTAGCAAATCTTGAAGAAGAACATTATGCCAGAAGTAATTAAAGCAGGAGGGAGTTCCTGCCCAGGCCCATGCTACCTCCTAATTGAGGATCTGTGATTCCCCCAGCAGGGCAGAGCTGTGAAGTTAGGGTTCTAGGGAATTCTGACGCCAAGAGTTTTGATGTAGCTCTCTTTTCAAACAAGTGACAGGACAGGAAGCACAAGCCTCTAGGAAGGATTCGATTGACTTTTTAAAGCCTAAGAATTAGCTACACAGATTGGATTTGTCTGGACCAAACGCCAGCTTGTTCACAGCAAGCCCTTGCCTTTTCTTCTCTGTACATGGCTGGCTGCTCTCAAAGCTCCTCCTCCTCTCCTGCTGGTGACAGCCAGTCTTTCTTCTCTGTCAAACAAGTATTGTTCTGATCGGTACCCTAGCATCTCTACCAGCAAACAAAGTAACCCCCTCCCCGCTACTCAGTGAGTTTCAGTCGGGTGCCCCATGGGAAACTATTCACCCATAAAGGTGCAAATGATGAGAATCTAAGGAAGGAGCCACTAACAGAGGAGTGGAAGGGGTAAGAGGGAAGGCATGGAAAAGAGCCTTGGGCCACCACAGCAAGATGCTGTTCCTAGCCTTAGGACATAAGGGACAACCAGAATCCCAGTGTCTGCTGGGCCAGTGAGGACTACGGTAATGGGAACAGAACCCACAGACACTAGAAGTGAGGCTGAAGCAGATAGGAACATGTCCATCTGCCTCCCAGTCTCCCACAGGTACCTAAGACAGCCAACAGAGCCTGGGTAATTAACTAGCACCTATAGTGTGGCGTCCCGTTTTGCCCAGCTTGTGTGTGGTCAACCTAAGAATCAGTAAAATGCTTTTATATTTATTGTATGCCCCATGTACTTGACCTAATGCTGAGTAGATGGATGCTCAATAAGTGCTCATTAACTTGAGTGTGATCAATTATAAACACATTGAGGAAAGAAATGTCACTGTATGTTATATTGTACATATAATCACAGTATGCAATAAAAATACATGTTGAATATCATTGAAGTCTTCCAATGAGTCTTGACTGTAATTAGAAAAGGGTCATCCTCAGTAAAGACTAGAGGACAATGACACCATAAGAAAAAAAACAGCATTCTAGCAAGCAGTCTGGAGGTACAAAAGGACTTCATCACATCACATCCCATGAGGCTCCTGGGGGGTTCTATTTCTCCATTCCTCCATTCTGTTCT